CTGACATCAGTCCTGTCCAGGCCATTATTGTCTCTTGCCTAAATTCCTGCCACTGCTTTATGTCAGAGACCGCTTCCCATAATCCTCTCCTTCCTTCATTTACTACCCCGGTTCCAAGCCCAGTTAACCCACCACTGGCTTGAATTCTCCCAACAGCTTCCCAGAAGCTCATTCTAACTCCTACGCAGCCTCCTTTAGGTCTTTGACATCCTACCCTTGGCCACCTCTTATACCTATCACCCGTCGCTTGAAATGCTCTCCTGTGCTCTCTCCCTCCAGGTCCCCGTTGTAGCTTTGTGTTTCTCTTGTCCCCTGGCTTTGGCACACACTGCTTCTCCCATCTGAACCTTGTTCCCTTCTCCTTTTGCAGGAAATCAGTGTGCCCTTCCAAGCAATCTTCCAGGATAGATAGAACTTCTCTAGGATACTCTCCCAGGCTCTAACCTAGACCCAGAACTTGGCCCATGCTCATAGTGCATTTTGTGCTTTCCCTGTCTTATTGACCGTGGTGGAGACTGGGGTTATTTGCCCCGTGTCTATTCACCCCTTATTTTGCTTCAAAGAAGAATTTGGGATCATCAGTCAATCATCTTAAAAATGTTTCCTAACCAGAGGCCAGCTCAACAGGCTAATAATCTGCCTTGCAGCACCAGCATCCAATATGATGGCTACTGGTTCTAGTCCCAGCGGTTCCACTTTCCAATTCAGCTTTCTGCTTAGGACCTGGGAAAGCAGCAGAGGATGGCTGCACCTATGTGGAAAACTCAGAAGAAGCTTCTGGTTCCTGGTTTCGGATCAGCTCAGCAACCAGTCATTGTGCCCATTTGTGGAGTAAGCCAGGTAGAAGATGCTCTCTCTGTCTCTCCTTCTCTCTGTCAATCTTTCAAATAAAAAAATGAATAAATTTTCTTTAAAAAATGTTTCCTAACTTGACTTGAAGCTAGAGTAGACAATGAGATTTAAGCAAAAAATAAAAAATAAACTTACTAAATAGAAAATCTTCAAAGGGTTCTGATTTCAGTTTTGTTCTCCTGTCATCTTCACTGCTGCCTGGAATACAGATGTGATGGCTGAAGCTGCAGCTCATCAGCTGTGTGGAGCCTGTGGCAGCCCGTGGACACACAGGGATTTCTGCTAGCTCCTTTCTGCTGCCTCTTCCTGCTCAGCACTTGGTGACACTCCACACACATTTGTGTGTCCATGAATAAAGGCTTTTTCTTCCAGCCTGCACATCCTGAAAAACTGCTATGTGGGTTTTTCTCACAACTCAGCTTGAGTGTCATCTCTATCAAGAAGCTTTCCCTGACTTCCCTGTTGCCTGCCCTCCTGCCTTTCTTTGAGTCTGGAGTGGAGCTTTTGCATTGTCTTCAGTGCAGCCTGAGCTCATGTCACAGACAGCATTCCTTACTGTGCTCTGAGATGCTCTGGCACTTGGTGTGTGAACCCAGCCTGCTTCTGAGCTCCCTAAGGCCTCACAAGAGGACTTGCTCGGACCCTGCCACCTCTCGGGTCTCCCCTCTGGTACCCCGTGGAACTTACTCTTCAGGCTCACCTGCTTCTGCTTCAGTTGCGCTTCTCTGTAGAATGTATGGATGCTTTTGAGATGCTTCATTTTCCAGAGGAAATGAAAGAGAGGTGAGTTACCCACACTCACATGGCAGGAACCTCAGTACTGCCAGCAGCAGCAGGAACTGGTAATCTACTGTTTCTCTTATGTTCAATGTTCACTTAAGGCTCCTCTCCCAGAAAGCCTGTGGATAAGCTGTTCCTGGCTGCTACTGAGTTTGAAATCTTTTTCCAAAGAAGAGGCCCCTTTGCTGTCTGTGTTATTCTTTGCCCTAAGAGAAGCTCGTTCCCTGCTGTATGAGATTCAACCACAGAAACAGTTCCCGTTCCAGACATAGGACGGGATACCTGAGGCATCAACACGTGCTGATCAAGACAGAATTCCATAGGCAAGGACCAGCCTGGCTTTCCTTCAGCCAGGGATCTAGAGCAAGTGGCCAGGTATTCTTGGCAACATCAGTTGGAGCACTGCTGACTCTCCCTTTGTGCTGACTTAGCATTTGTATTTTCAAGTAAGGTGCCTTGATTGGTGTGCTCGCAGGCACTCAGAGGAAACTCACGCCAGATCTTTGTGTCCAGTCACCTTGGAGCTGCTCAGCTTCCCTTGTGCTCAGCAAATGTGTGTTGTATGCTTTTCCAGGAATGATCTCTGGTCCAATCATTTGTGACCAGGAGCACAGAGGTGGCTCATAAAGTGTGTGGGTACCACCCTAACAGGGTAGGGACATGCTGTTTGGTTTTGTTGTTGTTTGTTTGTTTATTGACCTGGAATTCCTTTCTTTTTGGAAATCCCCTTTTTCCTTTAAAGCTGTTCTCTTGGAGTCCTCAGTCCCAGGCCCACCCCTTGGCAAACAGTACCCCATCTCTTTGATCACAAGTATGGCAGAGATGGTGTACATGTGACACAAACAAGACCAATCAGAATCTCACCTGAGAGGATCAGACTCTTTCTGATCAAGGCCTAAGCTGGGAAACCTTGGACCTGGAGTCACTAAATGGAGAAGGTCACCCATATGAGAAGTCAAGCAAAGTCAGGTAAAGCAGTGAGGCATGTGGAGGGCTGGTCCTCAGCACAGTGACTACCTGTTCAAGTGAAGCAGACTGCTTTCTCTTTGTAGCAGGTTTATGAATCAAGATGTTCCCTTCGTGCTTGGTAACTGCCATATTCTGTGCTTCCATCATTTGCTCCCAAAGGAATCTGGTTAATAGAAGAACTTACGTAGGAAAAAATTCACTAAGTGAAGAAAGGTTTAGAATTTATGCTGGCTGTGAGATTAATGCCCCCGTTCCCTAGGGAGTGTTTGGAGGGTCTGACCTGGCATAGCCTGAGAAGACAGTGATGTACTTGGTTCCTGAATATGCCTCAGGAAATCAGATCTTCTTACTCCTTGCCCACTACTTTCTTGAAACACTTTGCAAGGTTCCCGTAGCTGGTATGATAAGGGCCACACTCCTCTATGGCTCTGCAAGGGCTGGCCTCCATTGCCTGGATCAGAGGTCTGCAACTGGTTCTGGTAGAACAGGGAGAAAATGTTTTAGTCCTTGAGATTCATGTTCCCACTGGGTACAATTTAGCTCTGCTATTGTTGCTGACAGTAGCCATTTGGCATGAGGATACTCGTGCTAAAACCACTAACAGTTTATGAAACCAGACAGTAGTCTAAGTTTAGCCCATGGGCCATAATTTGCTGACCCTTGGTTAGAAAGGCCTGGAACCTTGTCCCAGTACTCTTTTCTGGTCTCTCTGGGCTCCTGCCAGGAATCTCCTTCGGACCACAAGCTCACTCCTCTCACAAGGCCTTTGCTCATACCATTCTCTCAGTCTGGCATGTTCTCCCAGATATTTGGATGGCTAGCACCTGTTCACCACCATGATTACTGCTGAACTGTCATGTCCCCAGGTAAGATTTTCCTGGTACACCACGGCTGTGCCAGACTCTGCTACCACACCCTAACTCTCCTTCATGACATTTACCATAGCTGCAATTTTTATTATTTCCACATTGGGTTGCTATCTGCCTCTCCAGCACATGGCAAACTCCCATAAAGACCCTGTCTATTTTGTTCAGCACCTAGCATAGTCCATGATCTATAGTAGTAACTCAGCATGTGTTTCCTATAAGTGAGAGAGAGAGAATTTTTAAAGGAAAGTATTAATAGATTCTCAAGGTCATAGAAAATGCAAAATTGTTACAACACAATTATCATTTCTCATGTTAATATAATATTAATACAAAGAGAACAGATTTAATGTAAGTCATAGGTATGATTCTAGGAAAAAATGAGTTTTTCTTTTTCTCTCTCACTTTTAGTTTTTGAGACTACATATTTTTAATTTACATGATTGCTAAAGGTTTAATGCTCCACTAAATAAAGAGTCCAACAGCTAAGAAGGCCGTGGTTTGGGAGCTACACGGCAAGGACAAGTGAGAAGATCCTGTGTACGTTTCCACCAGGCTCGTCAGCAGGAAGCTGGGATGGAAGCAGAAGTGGAATTCAGTTCCAGACACGCCGTTATTGAACGTGGGCATCCAAGTCACTTAACCTGCAGCACCACAATGTCTGCCCCACGGGCAAAACTGCAGCATTTCTGAGATTGAAATCAAAATATCAAAGACAACTGAATTCAGTTATTACTGTACATTGCTGTTGATAGTCCTGAAATATTTGGATGAGTGATAAAATAAGGACATAGTCCATGAGTTGTTATGTATGTACTAAATTTTTTTCTTTCGTGGCAGAAAAAAAAATCGCTAATTACAGAATTATAACAAAAACATACACATAATTTATGTGCTTTTGACAATAATGGTCTAAAGGATTGAGAATAAGAAATCGTGTTTTTAAAGTTACAGCATTAACTTTATTTGCATCAGAAATAAGAAATGAAATTAAATGTAGAAATGGAATATTTCTGAATAAAATTCTTTTTTTTTCAGCATAAAAAATATTGGCACTAAAAAGGCAGAAATTCTAAATGCTGAATGTAAAACTTACCAAGTTTTTAAAATAAGGGTGTGATTTTATTTAAAATTTGGCACTGGAATAAAACATTAACATTTTTATAATACTTCACAATTTCAGTATTCATTCTCTAAACTTAGTTGTCAGTGCAAATAGCATCACACTTTATTCATGTTGTGCCTAGGCATATATGTTTGTGTGTGTGTGTGTGTGTGTGTGTGTATTAAGGTAGTGTTAGCTGTTTATTATTGTGTATTTCTCAGTGACCTATCTACATTTTTTCATGATTATCTAATTCATGAGTGTTTTATGCACTATAAACAGGACACAAATGAAAGAACAAAAAAGAAAAAGGTAATTATAGGAAATGTAATGTAAAATTCTCTGTGCAATGTTAAATTCTCTTGCATTCATGCTCTCAGGCAGGGAGGTCTGGCCAAGCTGATTACTCTTCCTTTTTTTTTTTGAAGGTTTCTGCGTGTTTAAATCTCTCAGCAGCTGATGCAGTATCCATTGTGGAAGTGGACAGCAGCAACCACATGATGCCATGTGGGTCCGGCAGCCTTGGTTTTAAGGACAGGGCAAAAAAAATGTGGAGAAGGATTCCCTGGGGCTGTGCGGTGTTGGACCCAAAAATGCATGTCTAAGATTAAGGTGAGTGACATGGGCATGTTGTGCCACAGAGGCACCCACTGACTCGTGTGTGTGTGAAAGAGAAAGCGGTGTTCTCACTCAGATCTGTGGGCAGTGTGAAACACGTTTGCTAATGGCTTCATGAAAGGTTATCAGTGTTATGAATAGACTTCTGCATAGCCCCAAAGAATCCATGGAGGGGCCAACGTTATGATGCAGTGGGTTAAACCACCCCTTTGCTATTGGTATCGCCTGAGAACAAGGTTAAGACCTGGCTGTTCCAATTCTGATCAAATTCCCTGCTAATGCACATGAGAAGGCTGTGGAGGACCGCCCGAGTGCTTGTGCCCCTGGTGCCTTTGTGGGAAACCTGGATGGAATCCTGAGCTCCCTCCTTTTGCTGGGCCTGTGGTATTTTGGGAAGTGGACCAGTGGACAAATGATCTCTGCCTCTGTCATGCTGCCTTTCAAATTCACTAACTGATTAATTAATTCTTAACAACAGAAAATGGATCCATTAAATGATTGAGGACTTAGAGGGGCAAATTGAGCCCAGAACGTTGACCAGTGCTTCCTGCATGAGTGTCTTTTCCTGCCAGCACACATCAGAAAGGTGGAGTTCAGTAACTGGGCATCTCACTCTGACTCGGCTCTGAGCACTTTTGCTGAGAAACAGTACAGCCTCATTTGCTAATGAAATGCATCCTCAGCAGTTGGAGATTTTAGTTCTTAATTTGCTGACTGTGGTAGCTGAGTTGCAAGAAAGTGCTTTGACGAGTAACTTAATAATAAATACATAAAAGTGAAGCTAAATTAATGGGCAAGGAGGATAAGATCTTGATCTACAGAAAAGGACAGCACTTTTCATTTTTGTTTTGTTTTTCATTCACTTTATTTTAGAGGCAGAGGCAAAGAGGTGGAAAGACAAAGATCTCCCACCTATGGTTTTCTCCCCAAATACTTGCAACAGATGGAGTTGGGCCAGATTTAAACCAGAAGCCTGGAAATTACCCCAGTCTCCATTGTAAGTGTCAGGGGCCCCAGTAACTTGAGCTGGGGTGTCACCTGCTACCTCCCAGTAAGGGTATTAGCGGGAAGCTGGAATTGGGAGCAGAGGCAGGACTCAATCTCGGGCACCCAGTGTGATTCAGGGGCATCCTAATGCTTGCTCATTTTCTCTTTCAAGTCAGGGGAAAAGCGTGAAGATATTCCGCTCATTAATGCTGAGAAAGAACCTTTGAAACATAAAGGTGGCATTTATGGGTCTGGTGCAACAGGCTATGACTTTAAATAAAAACTGAGATTCATGAAGGTCACCCACTTTACAGGAGAGGCAATGGAAACACGGAGATCACACAGCTGTCACGTGGCAAGAGGCAGCATCCCTAGCCAGGGACATCTCTGTCCTCACCTCATTACCACGGTGGTACATTGGCTCTTTGCTTTCTTCCACTCCATATACAAAGGAACCAAAAATGAACATCAGCAAGGAAAAGTGTAGTGGGAACCCTGGCCAATCACCTTTCTTCTGTTCATTCTTCACCATCCCCTCAAAAGACAAACGTAATTCTCATTAACACTGTGCCGAGAGTTAATAGGCGGGTGCTAGTGTTAGGTTACAAGATGTTCTAAGCAAAGGCTTGCCCACCTACTTTTGCCTATTGGATAAAGACTTGACTTCTGAACTTTGGATTGCCTCTAGTTACAACATATTGACTTGCATCATCCTTTGAAGAACAACTGGCATCGCAAAGTTACTATAAGTTGAAAACATGCGTACAGGCTCTTGAGTCCTAAGATGAAGAAACATGTGGTAGTTCTACAAAAACATTGGCAGTATCGTTGTTTTGCCAGAATCTTTATGGTTAATGAGATTTTTAAACAGCTTTGAGACATTTTTCACGTACCATAAAATTCACCCACTTAAAATGCACAGTGCTTTAATTCTTAATGTATTCAGAGTTGTGTTACCATCACCACTAATTTTAGAAAATTCTCAACACCCTAAAAAAAAAGCCCACATTCATCAGCACTCACTCCTCGTTTCCTCCCAACCTAGCAACCACTTAATTACTTTGCCTCTTAGAAAGTGATTAATCTAGATGTTTCATGAAAAATGAATGATCTGTGGGGGTATTTCTGAAAGTGTATGAAAAATGGAACTAAAAGCCAAATTTATTTTGGTGCTAAAGGGGTCTTTGAAAAGTTCATGGAAATGAGTATTATGAAGCCCTCCATGGATTCCAAACTTTTTGGCATCAAAGTAAACTTATCGTTCAAGTCTACTTTTCTGGGTATTTAATAGGGCAAGGAAAGAGAGACTGCTCATATACTACTTTAATGCACAAATGCCTACAACAACCAGGTTGGGCCAGATCCAAGAGCCAGGAACTCAGTGCAGGTCTCCCTAGGGACCCAAGTACTTGTGTGTTCATCTGCTGTTTCCTAGGGTACACATAAGCAGTAAGCTGGGTCATCCCAGGCACTTTGTTACAGCATGTAGGTGTCCTGAGTGGTAATATTAACCAGTGCACCAAATTCCTGTCCCTCTGTGAACTTTAGAAAGTTCCCTCGGGCTTGGTGTGGTAGCCTAGTGGCTAAAGTCCTTGCCTTGCATGTACCAAGATCCCATATGGGCGCCGGTTCATATCCTGGCTGTTCCACTTCTATCCAGCTCCCTGCTGTGGCCTTGGAAAGCGGTACAGGATGGCCCAAAGCCTTGGCACTCAGCATCCGTGTGGGAGACCCTGGCTCCTTTTTAATAGGAAAAGGATCCAAAACTCCTGACTTTGGATTGGCACAGACCTAATCATTGCGGCCACTTAGGGAGTAAAACAGCAGATAGAAGCTCTTTCTGTGTGTCTGCTTCTCTCTGTAAACCTGACTTTCTGATAAAATAAATAAATATTTAAACAAAAAACAAGAAAGTTCCCTCAATCTCTGATGTTGTTGCTGTTGTTGCTAGCGTTGTACGTTAATTACAGTACTGCCAAGTTTCACCCATGTGGCAGCATGTATTAGTGCTTCATTCTTGATTGTTTTTTTTCCCAACGCCAGATGATGTTCCACTGCATGCACATACACTTGGTTTATGTATTCGTCACTTGCTCAGTGTGTAGGCTTTACTGGACATACATGTACAAGCTTTTCCATGGATATATGTTTTCATTTTTCTTGGGTATGCACCCAAAGTGCCAACTGCTAGCTCTTTGTCTAAGCATTTTTGGGGGGTCAGAACCATAAAGTATGCATCTTATTAGATTCTACAGGACAAAAATGGGGAAAGTAAGTCCGTCAGGAAAAATCCATGGCTTACTGGAAAGAGCTGACTTTGGTATTTGTTGTCTCCTGTCAAGGTGTCTCGTGTGCTCCCTTGGTTTTAGCAGACACTGCCTGCCCAGTTGTTGGGCATCCTACAGAGGCCCCAGTGGGCCTGCAGCTCATGTGAGAGTGGATTTCAGTGGGGTGAAGTGGTGCTGAAGAGAGACACGGTTGTCTGTGATCACTGACATTTATCTTCTGAAGTCATCTTTCTCGTAGATCCTTCTTCTGTAAGGGTCAGGTGGATGTCAGCAGTCCATCCAGCTACCACTGTTCCCATGAATAGGGTTGCAGTGGCTGAGGGAGGTCTGCAGGTTGAGACTGCTGTATTCATATCAGTAGCCCTCGAAGCCCTGGTCCTTGTAGAAACTGATCATTCCAGTGATGGAGAGAGGAAGCAGGAGTTGGTCTCTTGGATCCTTGAAACTTAATGATTGAAGAGGTGCTAAACTAAATTTCAAAGCATTTTACAGTCTAAGCAGCAATTCATGAGGATTCCTATTTCTCCATTTGTTTGCCATTGTGTATCTCTTTTTTTTGTTTGTTTTTAAAGATTTTATTTATTTTTGTCAGAAGTGCAGATTTTAAAGAGAGGAGGAACAGAGAGAAAAATCTTCCATCTGTTGGCTCACTCTCTAAGTGATCTAAAGCCAGGAGCCAGAAGCTTCCAGGTCTCCCACGTGGGTGCAAGGTTCCAAGGTTTCAGGCCATCCTGTACTGCTTTCCCAGGCCACAAGCAGGGAGCTGGATGGGAGATGGGCAGCTAGGACACCAAATGACATCCATACATGATCCTGACTCTTACAAGGCGAGGGTTTAGCCACTGAGCCATAGTGTATGGCCCATGTGGCTTGATTTTTCAACCTTCCTACAATAGATGTGAATTAATACTTCATTGTGGTTTTCAGTACATTGTCTTAAAGTTTAATGATGCTTTTCTTTGGAGGAGCAGTTAATTTAAATTATTTGATCACTTAAACATCGAGCTATTTTTCTTTTAATTATTAAGTTGTAAGAGGTTTTTTTCCTTATCCTGGATACTAGTCCCTTCTCAGGTATATGATTTACAAGTATTTTCTCCAATTTTCTGAATTGTTCTTCTAAGTTTTGATGGTGTCCCTTAAACCACAGGCATTTTTAATTTTGTAGAAATTAAATGTATATGCTTTGTCTTTTGTTGTTTGTGCTTTCTGTGTTGTACATGGCCTGATCTCTCTTTTAAAAAAAAACTTATTTAATTTTTATTGCAAAGTCAGATATATAGAGAGAAGGAGAGACAGAGAGCAAGATCTTCCATCTGATGGTTCACTCCCCCAGTGGCTGCAACGGCTGGAGCTGAGCCAATCTGAAGCCAGGAGCTAGGAGCTCTTCCAGGTCTCCCGCGCTGGTGTAGGATCCCAAGGCTTTGGGCCGTCCTCGACTGCCTTCCCAGGTCACAAGCGGGGAGCTGGATAGGAAGTGGAGCTGCCAGGATTAGAACCGATGCCCATATAGGCTCCTGGCACATTCAAAGCGAGGCCACTGTGCCGGGCCTGGCATGATTTCTCAATTCAACAATATAATGACTTGCTACTATATTTTCTTATAAAAATTTT